AAGACTCTATCTGACTACCTAGCACTTGACTACACCGAACTCCACCTGTTTGATCGTGTCAAATAAATGACACTTGCTCCTCTGTCAGTCATTCTTTAGAACAGATCGCACTCACAAAACACTATACTCTCACTAAATTACCAGTAACCAGATGCGAGCACAAGGTGCCAGTCTAGAAATCATATAAAGCCAGAGTTAAACTGCAAATCACCTACTAGCTCCTGCATCTTACAATCTGATTCACCTTTGCCCTTCAATCTCATTCTTCCATGAAACTCTCACTGCACATCAAGTGTTGTAGCCTGTACTGGCTCGGGAAAATAGCACCACTATTATCAACCAAAAACAGACGAGGTGACACGACCTTCACCAGACGCATTCCAATATCATCCTGGCCAACCTAATCGAACCGTTCCAGTTATTTAACTTCATAAGTTCAACATTATCGCAGGTTAGTGACACAGCTCGATTATATAACCTGTAAGACTCTGAATTTACAAGCCTTCTGATATGGCACTTCACCTCAACTCTTGAACCACAGTTCTTCATGCGCACGAGTCTACGCTTTTATGTTCGGTGATGGAAAGTTATGTCGACTCCAAGACTTGCAGAATCTATACTACAGAAATCAGAAATAACAAGATAATAATAGAAACAAAGGACTATATTATATTAGATTCATAAATACTAACCAATAAAGAGATTATATGTTATATTACATTTGGCTCAACCCGTCGTGCTATGTGAGATCTTCCGGCGTTGCTAAAAAACACGCCGCGGCGTAACGGCATCTCAGCGGAATAGAGCTCAGGTACTAGCTTCATCCCAATCTTGTTCAGTTGTCCTTTCGTCACCCTGGGCCCGCGCGTCCCCGCGCCGCCTCCTCGGTTCTCTCAGCAGCAGGAAGATGCTGCCAGCTGCTCCCTGTTGCCACCCCTGGAAGCTCAATCGACAGAGCGCAGCACACACACACACACACACACACGCACGCACCGACACCAGCACACATCATACTATGATGAGTTCCTCGCGTTGCTCCCTGAGTCCAGCATTACACGGCACAGGGTAAAAAGCACATATTTATATTGCATCATGCCCATATAAAGTTTACAAAGTTATATAGTCCTAAAAAGTTCAACATTAAAGTCGTAATGTTTATATATAATATATAATTAATATTTAAAGAAAGAAATCTTTGAATTCTTATTTTGAAAAGTGATTATTTCTGATAAAAGGTTAGTTACTTTATTTTTACCTATATGAAGATTCATAAAACATCAAACAACTCAGACAAACATGATAAAAGATAAAATATAAAAGTTCTCCAGGCTCTGATCAGGACTCAGAACAATAGAAACACTTGAATTAATACAGTGAAAAGTTATATATAAGTTAAATAAAGTTAAATATAAATATAATAAACTTTGAACATTGTGTTACTTGTTGTTGTTTTTTATTATTTTCACTGGTTAAATGTTTACTTACCTTTATTATTTTACATTAAGCTGATTCACCTCGTTTGTGAATCATTTATATTTATATTCTTGTATTCTGCAGTAAAGCTGGAAACAACCACAACTCTAGTAAAGGTATGGAAAGCCAAAAGGCCCAAAATCCGTCTCAGTTTCCGTGAACCTCGTTCTGATTTTAGTTTAGTTGTTTTTTTTGTTTGTTTTTAAACAAATAAATAATTCATAAATGTTGATATAACTACACTAAACTGTTCACAGTATTTAAACAATCATATGAATAAATAAATAATAATAATGCTAAAAACAATATATGTAAAATAAAATAACAGCAGTTGCTGTTGAACTGTGCGAGGCTGAAAACAAAATAAACTGCATCGTCAACACGCCAACTTTAATAATCCAGAATATACAGAACAACTTCCTGCTGGAACAAACACAATTAACGACATCTGTACGGTTTCACACGTTTATTGCATTTAACATTAAAACCAAACACAGAAGAACTCAAAACCTCAAAAACACACGAAGACGTTTAAACTTCTGTGGTTCGACTTTTACACCTAAAATATGTTCGTCTAAGAACAGCAGTGAGAGATCAGCAGATTACTGTTAACTCGCAGACTAGACTAAACTCAGGCTGAAATTCATTTGGATTTAATCACAGTTTAATCATTTTAACAAAAAAAAAAAAGAAAGTCACACGATCTCCTCTCCGTGCTCCAACGCTAACGCTAACGTCACACTTCCTGTCGATGCAACTCGACCCGCTCGAGGCTGAAATCTCTCCCCTCGCTTTAAAAATCCTCAACACACAATCAGACTGTAGAAACGACAGATTCCTGAAGGCACTTTGGTGTAAAGACGTTTTTTTTTGCTATTCACAAGCAGCTCCGACGACAGAAAAAGGTGAAATAAAAACAAACTGCATAGTCGAGAATCAGTGGATTCATTCTTCAGCGTCGTCCTCAGAAAGAAAACGGAGGCGACTACAGAAGCTGAGGTTGACGTCTTATTCAGGCGCTCTGAGGAAAAGACACAAAGACAAACGTCAGCTTGGAAACGTCTCTCTGAAACATCTGTTCAACAACCTGTGAGTTTGAATCATTTACTACAATCCACAAACAAAGATTCACCGATACGAGTCAGAAACCGGTTTTAACGGAGGTCAGTTGTGGCGGGAAAATGTTTAATATCTTGTGTGTGCTAGCTGCACCCACAGACTCCTCGTCGTCGTCTCACCAGGTGAGAGTTAACATCTGTCCGACAGACTTTATCCAACTTTTCTTCTTACAGAATCCAAATGGTTTCCAGACTTTAGATTAGTTTGTGCAGACCCTGGCGTTGACCTTTGACCTTTCACATGAGCGGAGACGCTGTTAGCAGCGAAGCTTCAGTCAGCAGTTCCCTCCAGGAGTCCATGTACTGATAAATAAATAACATTAAAACCGATTTCTGACTCGAAGCAGTGAATCTTTCCACCGCTGGTTCCTGACACCTTGTTGATTTAAAGAGTGAAACAGTTTGTTCCCACCAAAGTAAATTATACACAAAACAATGCTAACATGCAAATAGACGCTAATTTGCACAATTAATTGCGATATTATAGAAACTGAAAGAAGCTGCAATGTTTAGATGAAGGTAAAATGTGACAAACAGCATTATAATGAAGCACTGAGGTTCAGTCTAACTGTAACTCGTACCGTAATCAGAGTTTTTTACTATATCTTGCGTCAACCAAACTCCATTCAGAAAACAATCATTTTAAGAGTTGTTTGCTTGTTGTGTCAACAAAGTATGAGTTGAGACCTTTTGGATGTCATTATTTCATCATCATTTTGATCCGTTTATTGACTTTAAATCACAGAAACATCTGTTTGTTTTGGGCTCAAACCGCCGCAGAGAGACAGATTACACTGTGTATATTTACTCGAGGCGTTTGGTGGGAACACACCGTAAGAAAACCTAAAAACAAAAAATATACAGTAGGTCTGTATCTTAGCATTTTATTCATTTCTGTATAGAAAATTAATGAAATAGTTATAATTAAAGTTTATATTATTATTTAAGATATAAACATGATAAGGGCAGAACTGAAGAAAGTAATCTAAATAACAAATGGAGCCTTTAAAGTGAGCCAACATGCACAGCAGCAGCAACTTGACTCTGTTCATTAGTATTAGTAACTCCTGTGTTTACCCTACTATTTCATGTCAAACTGGCTGCTGTGAAAAAGGCCTGTCAGTGTGTGAGTCAGTGCAGAGCTTCAGAGTGACGGCACTCACCGTTAGCTGAGGTGTTAGCAGGTAGCATGCAGGGTTAGCAGGTGAGAGGCACAGCTGGACAAAAGCTGGAGTAAATAAATGAAGTAAAAAGAAGCGAGCGGCCGGTCCTCAGTGACACCAGAACCAGAACCAAAGCAGCACCAGGCGGAGGCAGAAACTGTCTGTGGAGGTCTGACTGATCCCGGAGAGCACAGGTGAACTCCAGGGCGGAGGTCTAATCAGCCAGAATAACTGGAAACACCAGTGGGGTCGTCTGTAGCGCCTTTAAAATTCGATTAGGAGCTCAATACAAACACTAATTATCTTCTAATCAGCTGACAGGATGTTTCCAGGTATTCTGCTGTTTGTGTGTGTGGGGGGTGGGGGGCACTGTAAGGCCTTTAAACACAGTGATTAACTCACCCAACACTCAGCTGTCCACATATTTTTGGCCACATTCTGTATCTCCAAACCTCAAATGTGAGGTTGTGTTAGTATGAAATTGAGGAATCTGGATTTTATTAAACAAAAATAGTCAAATTTAATGTTTAACGTGCAGATTTATTCACATTTTCCTCCAAAAATAATTCGGAAATCACCTTTAAAGAGCTGATAATAACACATTATATCAGATAAAGTGTCACCAACGTCACTAAAGTCAAAATTAATCAGTTAACGCAAAATGTTTCCAGGTGTAATGACTGTATTTGTCCTGCAGAGGGCGCTCAAGTGCAACAAGACGACCTCCTCCATTATTAGAAGCAGAAAACAGCAACAATTAGCAGCTAAATATAATAAATAAAAGAAGAAACTGTTTAACTGTTTACTTTAAGTTAAAATAGTTAGAATAATATTCATTTAATATTAATAAACTGCTGATTTATTCTTTATTTCCTCAGATTAAAAACTGAATTTGCTGTTCAGTTTGTTTGTTTTGAGGCTCTGAAGACTTTGTGATTTCTATTTTGGTGAATGTTAATATTAATATTATTATTTAAGTGGTTTTCCTGCAACTGGATAGAAAAGAATCAGTGTAATTATGAATGAATCTGCTGTGAAATGTGTGTAAGAGGCTGATATGAAGTCTGGCAGCTGCGTCCTAAAATCAGAGCCCCACCCGACAAATTAAACTGGTAAATATGTAAATATGTGGCGCCAGTTTCAGCAGCTGGGACCGAAACGAAAGTCAGAGAGCGGAGGAGGAAGAAATGTACGGAAGACCTTTTCTGCCAATGTGAGGGTAAAAATAAAGACTGTAAGTCATAAAGAGAAACCTTCTTAAAATATTGATTTAGTATCACAAAGTCAATATTTTGAGATATTAAGTCAGAATATTGAGAATTTTTAGAGGATGTTTTTGTTTCTAAAACTCAAAGATTAAAGTTTTTCTAAAGAAGAAAAGTTAATTATAACAACAGATTATTATTTAAAGTCGGCACATTATATTTTGTTCTTTTTAAGGTTTGAGTTTGTCTTAAAACTTAAAAACTTTAAGTGATTTAAGTCAATGAGTCTCAACATTTTTATTTTATTCTCTCAGGTACTCGATCATTTCTTAATATAATAAATACAGAATACTACAAGTAATATCAATAAATAAACACTAAACGTACTAAAGTATCAAACTCAATTGTATAAAATTCTCAATTAAGCAGCTTTTTTTAATATTAATTTTAAATGTTACTAACTTAATTTTTACAGAAAAATTCCTGATTAATAACTTTTTACTTTCACAATACAAAAACAATTACAAAATTAGCTTGATCAATGATGGTTTTTTAACTTACAAAATTAAGTTGGTTTTACTTTTCGATGTAATCAGTTTAAACATTACATTGAGTTAAATTAACTAATCTGGTTTTATAGTGAACAGTTATATATAGTTATATATAGTATGTAAATGAGTTATATGTCGTATATTGAAAGAGTTTCTAGTAGAACCTTTGTATTATATCTTTGTTTTTATCTCTGCATCTTCAGAGACGGAGAATGAGTTCTTTGTGTTTCCTCTTAAAGCCCGACGAAGGCTCCTATAGGATCTTTTGTGTTTCCTGTAAAGACGCCTCGTCCCCTCTGAGAACACATGACCCACATCGGACCCTTCCCAGTATCTCTCAGGCTGTGGCTGTTCTGGTTTTTACTGAGAGGCTCCAGGACAGACGGACAGAGGACAGGATCTGGATCTGGAGCGTCCTCAGTGAGTCCTCCAAAATACTGCTGATGTAACAGCTGGCTGTCACCGTGGAAACGGATGTGACCCATTAAAGTATCAGAGTTAAAGGATCACTGAGGAGAAGGAGGTCAGTGAAGGCATCACAGGGAGGACAGGTGGACTAATGAGTATGGATAGACTGTTTCAGCTCAATATCAGTAATTTATTACCCTTTTCAAAAGTAATATTAGTGCTTTACTCATTACTTCCTGCCAAAAGTAACTAGTTACTCTACTAGTTACATAACTTTCCACAAAATGCAGACGATTAAAATCCAGTTTAGTTTGTTTAAATCAAACTCAAAAGTAATGGAGTACTCCACGATTATAAAAATGAATCCAAGGATGTGATTGATTGTTGGATTTCAAATCAGTAGGAGGAGAAAACAAAAGTAATGTAACTAATTAAGCGTAATATTATTACTGACATTTATTGGTAATTAGTTACACTACCAGTTACTGTAGAAATTAATCTTATTACTAGTAATAAGTTACTGCCCCACAATGTTATTGATCCAGATATTAAAACAGTTTTTATTAAACTGTGTGGTATTTAAAGGACCAGTTCAACATTTTCAAACAGTACTTTTACTGTACTTGTACTGTACATACTTGTACTAGAATATTTCCATTTAAAGGACGAGTCTGTACAATTTACTGTCATCTAACGGTGTAGCTGCAGATTGCAACTCCCTCGCTTCACCCTCAACTTCCAACTGCGAAGGAGAAACTACGATGGCGGCATAACACGCAATGCGAACGCCAGAGAAGATTTGAGGAATCAGTCTATCCATACGGGTGAGGAGTCGGGGGTGATGTGGGGGGGGGCACTGAGGGTTTTATTACTGGGAGGTTATTCAATAGAAACGTCACCTTACCAGGTTCTTCCTAACACACTGTGTGTCTGCTGAGGTTGATTATAGAGAGGTAAAATCAGATGTGAACTCTATCCTGAAAAGATAAAGTCAGACAAACAATTTGAATTCAGTAAATTGATCCACAAACACTGGAGGGAGGGAGGAGGATGGAGGGCTTCATGCTCGGATGCTCCAGGAATCAGGGAAGAGACTGGAGTTGATACACAGCTGATGCTTATAATCAGAGTCTTCTGTAAAGCCTTTATATAAAATGTGTGTATGGAGCCCTCAGAGTAGATCGATATCATGTGTTATCTTATGTAAAGAACTAAAAGATCCACATATTTGGTTTTCAGTTTGGAAGTTTCTGATCAAAGTGAACAAAAGTGCAACAACACATCTGAACCAGGTGTGAACCTATCGTCACGTCACCCATCGGTTTGCAGAGATCCGTATTAAAGCCTCGAGTTCGGCGTTATGTTTCATCAGCGTTGCCCAAAATCTCACAGTTTAAAGGAACACCTCGCCATTGGACCAGAGCCGTAGTACCCGAGATCTCGGACTCGTTGGTATTTGGACTCAGACTCAGCCGTTGGTCTCGACAGAGTCCAACAATATATGTTTTGAACTGAAGTAACTGAGAACAAACCAACTGATTCGGCTTGTTCAGAAAACACGTTTAATTCAGAATCCAGGTAGAAACCGGGTCCTGACACTGAGCCAAACTCATCTCATTGGTGAAAGTATTTTTATCTTTCTGTCATTTGGACTTGAACCTCTTTGTACTCTTGGTCTTGAGTTCTCCTGGTCTTGGACTAGACAAAGTTGGTCTTGACTACAGCAACTAAACTGGGAACTTTAATTCAAAGAGGTGGATTAACTGAGTCTACCTGGGTTTACCTCCACTACACCTCTGCTCCGTCGCTCTCTCACAGTCCAACAGCTAACTAGCTAGCGAGCTCACGTATTTACTGGCGATGTCAACAGCACCAAGAACTAAAGCCCAACTCTGCACCGTACATTAATATCGTTGAGAAACTTTTATTTACATCGAACGTGTTTCCAGGGACGTCGCACACTGCGAGTGTGTTGCCCTTAAAAATCTGAACAGTTTTCAGAACTGGGACCAGTCCGGAGGTTTGATACTGAGCCTGAGCCCTCTAAAGGAGAGTGGAAGCTAACATCAGACTGACTGTTGGGCTGAGGGGAGAGTTTATAGAAACTTAGTGAGGGGAGCTGGAATGAGGAACTTGGACGAGGTTCAGCATCAAACTCTTTTCCCTCTGCCGGAGAAATATTTATTCATCTGTGACTTCATTTGGCCCCCAAGAGAGACATGAGTCAGATTGAGGAAACAAACTCAACACAGAGACACTTTCTCTCCTCTGCTTCTCCTTAAACAGAAACACAATAACGGAGCGCCGCCAAAGCCACAGAGACATTTTTAAGAGCTTCTGGAGTTAGAAAACGAGCCTCCAATCAGAGCAGCTGTAGACGTTCACTCCCCGAGCCGAAAAATAAATACCAGAAACAGAACTGTAAACTAAACAGAAGATTGTACTTTCCTCGCTCACCCTCTTTCCTTTAACTTTCCGGCTTCAGGCTTGCCGCTGCAGACCTCAGTAACACACAGAGAGCATACGTAACAGGATTACACAACACCTCTATTCACTCACAGGCCTCAGGATGAGGACGAGGGAACTGAACAGAGACAGAACCAGATCTGTAAACCTGTCCGTTTACAATAAGATCATTTATATTGATCATTAAACACCGTGTGAGTCTGTAATGTTCATTATAAACCTGTACGTGTTGCAGCAGCTCTTCATAAATATACATTTAAAGTGCTCTATAAATAAAGATTATTATTATTATTATTATTAACTAGCTATTTATCTTATCTAGACGACTTTAGTAATGTGTTAATCAGTTGCTAGGAAACATCTGTAGCGCGATCAACAATGTAAACAGGAAGTCACATATGCAACTCCACTGTGCAATATATTTATCGTATTTATCTTATTTGTATTATATACAAAAGTTTCTTTTACATAGGCAACTACACTGTGCAATATATATAGTGATAGCTTATATATTATTATTATTATATATACTTATATATACTATCTTACTAGTCTTTTTATAAAAAGTTTTTTCTCTCTTTTACATTTTCATATCTATTTTTAGACTGTACATACTGTCCTCCCCCTTTATTTCCTGCCTGTGCTGATGTGCCATTGCAACGTAATTTCCATTTTTGATGCAAATCCAAATGACAAGTAATGTATTTATTTTATTTGTATAGCGTCAATTCATAACAGAAGTTATCTGTAGGATTTTATATCTTAACTTCAAAACGCTCATTGTTGGGAGGTTCAAACAGGATAACAGAGTAAACCTGTTCACCTTAATCTCACTGTAAGAAAGAATATAAAACCAAATTTATTATCATTAACCCCCCCCTCACTGCCACTGCAGTATATACGTATAGTATATACACGGTATAACATGGTTGTTTATTAGTGTTATTGCAGTGTTGGTCAGATCTGTAGATTATCATGGAGCCAAAGGGTCCGAATTAAAAACTTTAACATAGAATATAGATTCATACTAACGGTTATTTTCAGGCAGTTCCTGAAAACATTCGGGAGCAAATTTTTCAAGTAGTAATTATTTTTGATAAACTGGACAGCAGACGGAAATCCATCTTGGAGTACATTGAAAGAACTCACCACACCTCACAAACAATTAATGCATCACTAGCTAAGTCCACTGATATATATTATATATTTCTACACTGTAGTTATTACCTACTTTCTGGCCTTAATTGCTTCCACCAATGGTTGGAAATAACAAGCAACTTAAAAACTTACTGTGAAAAAATCACTCGTGGAGGCTAATGCTTAGTTTGGCTAACCTCTGGTTGTGGCGCTGGCTTAAAGAAGGAAAGCGCACTGGCTCGGAAATGTATTGGAAAATCATATCTTATAGTACAACAATGGCAGCACAAAAGACTCTAAAGACTCTTTGTACCTTCTGTTTCTTTAGCTTCTTCACACAGATTAGTCTTTAAACGCTGCAGTGATTTAAGCTTCATCAGGCTCTTCTCCATGCAGACAGCAGAAGTGTTGGTGTTGTTGTGCGTCAGCGTGCATTCAGCATTGACCGATCTCCGATGCGGTGGTCACCTCCATGGGGGGGGGGGCGGGGGGGGGGTTAAACTGACCCTCTGCTCGCTCGCTCAATCTCCTTCCTTTGGCTCAATCAGGCGGTCTCAAACTTGCTCTGTTTCTTTCCCGGGAGTGAACTTCAGGATTTATCTTCAGGCTGCCAGCCGACATCTGAGGAGAGAGACAGGAGAGAAGAAGAGAGACAGAGAAGAGACGAGAAGAGAAGAGACAGAGAAGAGACAGAGATGAGAGAGAGAGAGAGAGAGAGAGAAGAGAGAGAGAGACAGACAGACAGACAGGACAGACAGGACATGAGGAGGAGAGAGAGAGAGGAAGAGAGAGGAGAGTATTATTATCTGTACCAGAATGCTTAAACAGATTCAGAGACTTTAAACACTAAACTACTTGTCGTGTCTGTAGCATATAAAAAATAATGAATAAAAGTATCAATAGGTCAACTATCCTGCTTAAAAGATAAAATATAAATTATATCCAATCTAAGTTACCATTAAGATAGTGATATATATAAAAATTTATCTTTTAACATCCTTCATAATGTTTAATTGTCTTTTCAAATATTAGCTATAAGCATATTAGCATAATTCAAAGTAACATAGGGAAGCAGAAGATTGACAAGAAGGTTTAATTAGTGTAAGCTAAAGCTTATATTATAAATAATGAATAAAAATTGCTGTCACAATAACTAATATTTACACTATTCTAAATATAAAATTTACATTAATTTAAATACACTAGTGAAGCAATAAATTATTTTTATTTAGTAAATTTTTTTCGGCTTTTATGCCTTTATTTGATGGAACGCTGAGACACAAACAAGGACACGGTCGGATTCAACCCATGGGCGCTACAGCAAAGGACTTAGCCTTGGTACATGGTCACGAGCTCTACATGAGCTAACGGTTATCCCGTAATAATATATGTTTACAACAACTTCATTATTTGAAAGCATATGCATTTATTATTGTTTGATGTACAAAAAGACAGTTTTACTCAGTGAGTGTGGGGCTTCTGGTGTTTATCTCTTAACATGTAACTATGAAAGAAAGCTTATAATTACTGATTCACTAACACACACAACACACCACACCACACACTGATCCTCCCCTGCTGATGTCAACAGATATTGATCAGGGCATAACAGATTGTCACTGTGGACAAAGCGGCTGTTGTTCGTAGGCTGCAAGTGCTTAAATGATAGTTTAAAGATTAAAATATCATCTCCCTAAAGCAGATGCATGACTCGCCTCTATACACGCAAGCTGATCCAATGATACAGTACACACACTGTCACAACACACACACACACACATCACACACACACACAAAAAAAAAATAAAAGAAAAAAATTTCGTGTCAGTGGGCTGAGGCGCAGGAAGTAAACACCTGGTAAAGACGGTTGGCTTCGGTAACAGTTAGAGATGCACAAAAAGGAAGATTTTAAAGCGTATTTTAAATATAAATAATAAAATCACTTAACATTAAATTGTTTCCCTGAGCAGTGTTTAATTTTACGGACGGAGGATTCTGAAAGGTTATATTATATATATTGATTGTCTAAGATACATCCATATAATCATCATCCGTGTAAGTTTTAATTCAATAAACCTGTGTTTGTTCTGTATATGCAGCCTGACAGCCACTGACACTCTGCCACTACATAGAGGCAGTTCTTCTATTCAAATTAAATTTTAGAGTTATAACAAAGAAGCTCCTCTAATATATGTATATATAATGTTTGTTAACAATGTTTTGTGTTTCCTGGAAACGTAGATACTGCATGTTTGAACTGCGTATGTGCAGTCGCTATAAATTGCTTGAGGTAGATTCCGTTAGTTAACAAAACCCGATAGATCAGACTCCGACTGTAAAAACGGTAAATCCCATTATTCTAAAGCTGATCTCTCTTAGATAAGCTGATTTGACCTCCGCAATATGGCAGAGGTCACTATCTATGGTTCTATGACTACATCAGTTTTTAATCATACAGTGGGTTTGCTTAATGAGACTAAATGTGACCCGGTGGAGTACTGAGTAACTTTAGAACCTAAAGACCTCTGCGGTAATGAACAGCGGTCTTACCATTGCTCAGGACGGTCTCTGGTTCAGGTTCTGGTTCAGGTTCAGGTTCAAGGTTCCAGGGTGGATGCCTTACAACGGGTTCGAGGGGTCCCGCCAAGGCTATCTCCTGTGGTTCAGGGACCAGCTCGGGTAAGGACTTCCGCTCCCCAACAAAACAGGTTCCAGGTTCAGAACCTCGACCACAGGCTCTGGGTCAGCTTCTGGGACAGGTTCGGGAACTGATACTGGTTCTGGGACAGGTTCTGGGACAGGTTCTGGGACAGGTTCTGGTTCTGAAACTGGTTCTGGGACAGGTTCAGGTACAACTACAGATTCTGGGACTGTAGCTGGTTCTGGTGCAGGTTCAGGTTCTGGTGCTTGCTCTGGTACAGGTTCTGGCTCTGGGATAGGTTCTGGTACTGCAGCTACTTCTTGTGCTGCAACTGGTTCTGGAACAAGTTCTGGTTCTGGGACAGTCTCTGGTACCGAAACTGGTTCTGGTACTTTCACTGGTTCAGGGACTGGCTCTGGGACAGGTTCTGGTACTGATACTGGCTCTGGGACAGGTTCTGGTACTTTTACTGGTTTTGGTGCAGGTTCTGGTACTGATACTGGCTCTGGGACAGGTTCTGGTACTTTTACTGGTTCTGGTGCAGGTTCTGGTACTGATACTGGTTTTGGAACAGCCTGGAAAGACAAAAGGTTTGAGACCAGTTAAATTCTCTCAGATAAAACAGTGACAGCCGTTTGTTTTATTGATCAGTTAAAATAATCCAGTGATTTTAATGAGAAACACAGTATCAGGTACATGTGAGACACATTTTTAAGTTAAATGTAAAATGTGATCTAATACCATAGATGTAGAAACAGGGGATGTGATCTAGTACCATAGATATAGAAACTAGAAACTATATTGCGGAGGTCAGATCAGCTAGTTAACAACACTGAGAGATTCAGACTTCACTGACTTCACTCTGAACCGATTTTCATGAAATTTGGTTTGTTATAAACGTGAGAAATTGAACTTGATACTGGTCAGAATTAACTCAGTCACTGTGGGCGGAGCTAATTAGCTCTATGTCAAAAAACAGTCAAGAATCACCACTTGGAAAAATGTTGCAGGCGTTAGTCAGACCAGTACTTACAAAATACATAATATATTAGTGAGTGTGAGCTGGTGCACAAATGATCAACACATGGTACAAATTACTGTCAAACAAGAAAAACTGTGTGTGGAAAATAATTCACCTGTTGAATTATATTCATCCTGGAGAACGAGCAACCAGGTGGCTTCATAACAATATAACAGATACAGAAATATAACAATATAACAATATAATAAATATAGAAATCTACATATTTAGAGAAACTGACAGAAGCTTAAATTCTACATAACTTACACTTGAAGTTGTGGCCAAAAGTTTAATGTTTTGGCATTAAGCTGATTAGCTCCGGCCTCCAACCAGCAGCCAGTATCACATTCACTTTCTCGCCTTTGTAACAAACCAAATTTCACGAAAATCGGTTCAGAATTAAGCGAGTTATAGACTGAATCTCTGAGTATTATTAACTTGCAGATCTGACCTCCGCAATAAGCCAACAGCGCAGATGTATAGCAGGGACATTAAGCAGCGGCCAATAAAGTATCTATGTTTTTATATGTATGTCTAATACAGTCTGGTGTTTACAGGCGTCAGTGTATTTAACTGGAACAGCTGCGTGAGGAGCAAAATTGGTGAATTTGTCCATGCATTCGTAAAACGGAGAGTTGGTTCGATTTTTTCTTTTAATTTGTAATTTTAAGTCAAATTCCTCATGTGAACTGAAGTATTGATCAAATGTGTAATACATGGCTCACCATCTAAGCTGTGTGTGATGGGATCAAATTAACATTTTGTAAATATTAAAAATAGGTAATATGTAACATGTGACCTAACCTCTGACCTCTGACCGTCTAAAGCTCGTGTAGGAGTGACTACTGTCAGTTGCAGCTCCTTGTTGAGGATCAGCCGCCGCCTGCCGCTGACACCGGGACAAATTAAACCCTCTTTAGTGTCTGCCAACCTCCCCCGACAGCTCCCACACACACACACACACACACACACACACATATATATATATAAATCTATCTGTTCAATGACTGACCTCCCGGCTCGTCCGCACACCTGTCTGTGTCTTTTGTGAAGTGCTGAGTTTGCACAGATCTACATTTGAGCAGCAGATCTGGTTTCTCCGTTAGCCTCTGTGCTGCTAACACAGACAAATATGGCAGGATTCACCGTTTTAGGAACAACTTCTGACTGACGCTCTTTAATGAGGGGTTAACTAAAACAGAAAGTAAAACAGAAGTTTATCCTTCCTTTTAAACAAACCCAACCTTTCATCACTAACGACCTCGTGTGGCATCAATGAAAGAACAAAACACATTTTCTGAAGCTCTCTTGTTAAGATAGAACGTGTTTAACTTATTCCGTTAACTAAGAGTTTGGTTCCGCGTTAGCTTCTCATCCTGTTAGTTTCTAGTTCTTGTTAGCTTTCACTTCATTTACACAATGTCAGCAGAATGGGAAGAGCAGGATGCCTCAGTCAGATTATCTAAATGTCCTTAATTAGCTCCTTTTGCTGAGTTACGTATACCGGATACTAACTCTGCCTTTTTCACCCTTTAAGATCACATCCTCAGTCATACTGGTCCTTTATTTAACAGTTTATGCCAAACTATTTACAAAAAAAATCAACAAAAGATGACACATGAACCAACCAAACAGAAAAAAACAACAACCCACCACTGATACTGTATTCAGTTTCATCAAACTGAATTCTGTCTACATGTATTTCAGCTTAGAGTTATCTGAGAGTTAGCTTCAAGGCTTCTCACCTGCCACCTACAGGATGGATTGGTGGCTTGTTAACTAACAAGATGTAAATCAAATAGCTTTGGAGTTTCTGGAAGGTGGCTAGGTGTGTGTCCCCTGCTTGTGCTAAGCTAGGCTAAACACATCCTGGACCTATTTCTGTAATGATGAAACTGATATCTTCTCACCAGGAAACAACTATATTTAACAAAATGTCGAACTTAAATCATCTTGTGTCTCCGTTTGTATTCAACAGCAGAGAAAAAGATCGAGAACAAAAGAGGAAATGTTTTCAGAAAAGCGACTTTAGCGTCCTTGTCTGGTCCCGTCAGTGAAAACTAACCTCGACCCGGACAGACGCCACAGCTCTGCCGCTGATGACTCACTAAAGTGACAACTGGTGGCACCATGGGAGGCCAGACAGTGAAATGCATCAGGCCTGGCTGCTTTCAACCGCTCCTGCCAGCCTGGTTTCTTAATCCCACGGCAGCCCTCCCTCACGCCCTCAAACTGGATCGGCATCCATTTAGTCCCAAACACTGGTGCCTTCCTCTGCCGCTGGATTCCTGAGCCATGAAACACCAAAATTATCTCAACACCAAAATGCCGACTCGCTGAAACAAACGTGCTTCTGTGTCTCCATACTAAATGCGGCGTCATTAAATCATTTTATGAGTCAGCAGGATGATAAACTGTATTCTTAGTCAAAACCAGCTCCCAGCTCGTACTGCCGGCCTAAATTGGTCAAATATTTTTGTTGGGTGAGTGAGTCCTACATGACATCATCGTCTGCAGTGTTATCCTTTCAGGCAGTGACTACAGGGAATTAATCAAACTGCATTAGAGCTAATTACAGAAGCTTATTCCTGCCGGGAAAAGATGAACGGATGAAAGGGTAGAAAAATATAAACACTAATGGTCAAAATTGTGATATAAAGTGTTAAAACTATGAAATCAAAATTAGTAGATATATTAAAATATGCGAGAAATCAAGACTATGAGATAGTAATTCAAGATTATATAAATATTAACTCAAGTTACGACATATTTAGTAGAGTTTAAGAGCAACCAAATAAAGTTTATATGATAAATAAAATCTAAATGATCACAAAGAAGTAAAATGTCATTTGAAAGAGCTTTGAGACATTTTAGAAAATGTGCCACTGTGGATTAGTCCGAGTCCTCTCGGCCTTCACAGCCTCTGAGAGCATTTCCTGGTAAATATATCCCAATCTGTAACATTACACTGAGTGCTTCACTCTTAAAAGCCATTTTAGCTGTGTAACAGAGCACAGAGGAAGGGCATTAGATCTGCTGGCATGGGGGGAATTCAGTGAACAACCTGAGCAAACACTAAAGAGGAAGCAGCTCCAGTTGGTGGAGCCTGAGGCGGAGCGGCGAGCTGTTCGTCCACAGCTTCTCTCCTCTGTTACTACAGACAGACAGGCAGACAGTGGGTGGAGAGTCGTTCTTTAATCACAACATTATTCTGTGATAGCTCATCTCTAACGATTATTTGACCCTTTGCTAAGCAGATGCTACACCTGTCAATCTCTCAAATATTGATGAACGGCGGCAGATTTACCATTAATTATTAGTAATTTATCGAACAGTGGGGCACATTTTATTAGTTGTAGACTGAGTCGGCTGTATTTTACTCTTCTACATCCGTGATGTAACAGCCTGCAGTCATCAGAAGAGGAAGCGTGGGGTTTGGATTAAAGAGCAGGTATTTTGCAGAGGAATGAATCCCGTCGTCTTCCCGCTGTGGCAGCACAGAGGTTGACATCTGGGACCGACTGTTGTTGTGGCAGAGAGCCTGAACACAGACTCATTGTTCCCTCAGCTCGCCGCCTTATCTCCACTTCAGCTCACCGACGCCGCCTCCATTCACAAAAGACACGGCGAGACACTTCCACCGTGTCCTCCTGGATTCAGTGTGACTCCACATCTGTTCATATAGACAATGAGCCTCCTGGTCTGACTGAAATCTTTGTTTATTTCTCCTCATTATTCAGTCTAGAAATGTTATTATGTCCAGCAAATTCATTAAGAAACATATTTTTCTTTCATCTGCATCGTCAGCCGTAAACCGGCTGTTGCACCAGATTTCAAACCTTTAAAGTCGTCAGATTTGGACTGAAATTAAGAAATACGTTTGTTTTTGTTCATGAAATAGTTACAATTCTGACTTTTTATATCTTTTTATCTCTAGATTTTGACTTTTTTATCTTATAAAAACAGATAAAAGGCAGTTATCTCTTTTTGTATCATAACTTCTGGCTCAGTTTTCATCAGGAATGGGCTTCCATACTATTGTGAGTTTCTCAGTTAGAAGAACTCAAACAGTTTAATGAGTAGTAGTTTAATGAAAGAGCTCCTCAGTTCTGTTATTGCTTTAAACTTTAGGTCAGTGTTACTGTCCAGATCTGCTGCTGACTGACTCTCTTGGAGTACTTCATCACGGCCCCAAAAGACCAGAAACATGTCGGGCCGATCCCTCGCTGGTGGCTATGCGGCGGCAGCTGGGACTGGGTGTGGTAGCACTGGTGGTGGTGATGGTTGCCAGCCTCTCTGGAACCACCACAGAGGAGGAATTAGCTCCGATATGAAGCCATTGTTTTCTCCTGGATCTGACGTCCAGCCAACAGCTCTGAGCGCTGAGGAGCAGAGGTGTCGTCAGACCAGACCAGACCAGACCGGGCCGGGCTTCAGAGGGAGGAGGGGAGGCAGGAACTGGGCCAGGCCAGGGGGGAAATACCAGCAGAGGTATGTCAGTCAACAGAGGAGGTCCACAGAGAACACACTACTGTTCATGGAGGGTCTGTGAAC